GTCCTGAATATAGTACTTTGAGACCTTTTCTCATCATACATGAGATTGTTTTAAAACAAAACACAAAAACTATGAACATCTGAAAGCAGTGAAACAAATGATCTCAGATGTCCATTTCGGAGCAACACATAATCCTGATGCTGCTGTCTACACACTCAGTGGTCCTGAGCCTCTCATGAGCCCTGCTGAGACTGTTCTAGATACATGCTTTAGAGCCATTTAAGAGCTTTTTGTTCATGTGTAAAGCAATGAGTCCAAAGTACTCCATGAGAGCCAGAATCCTGGAAATTGGAGTAAGAATCACATGGAAAACTGTTTCACATACAGTGAGCTCTGTCCAAAGCACTAAGAGAGGACACATAATATATTTATCTTGAAAGAGAGCTACAGCCATACTCACTTATCCTTTATCAATGTAACTGTAAATAAGACTTGCCAAGAAGTTAATTTTAGGAGAGATGAGAGGGGCCATTAAACTCCATCCTAGCTGTTCAATAGGATTTACTAAGACTGTGCAGTATGTTTCAATGAGTGAATATATTTATGTGAAATTGTCAAGAGAAAAGAAAACTACTTAACAGAGGTGCACTTCATGTGAAAATCCATACTTTATCCTACACACAATGGACTGTCTACAATGGTTTTACCCCATAAGCATCTCCACCAGAGGCCATGTTCCTTTCATGCACACAGGACACTGAAGAACTTCCAGGTAGTATCTTAACATGGAAGGTGACTTCCAAGGTGGATCATGCTCCAGCAGAGTGTACATGATGTGAAAAAACTGAACAGAAATTGTGGGGTCAGAATTTCCCTACAAGAAAACAAAAGCAAATATCACTGTAATACTTGGCTCAAAATGTTTGCTCCTTTTACTTAATTCTAGGCAAGAATTATGTATTATTTCAAAATATACACAACCCCCTCCAAATGTGTTCCCTTGTTAACCTATTGTATGTAACAATATATTGCCACTGAACTACCATATTTCCCCGAAAACAAGACAGGGTCTTACATTAATTTTTGCTCCCAAAAATGCATTAGGGCTCATTTTCAGGGGATGTTTTATTTTACTGTCATATCGTCTTCTGGTTGCTGCACAATGCTGCAGGGTGGGGTTTCACTTAACTGGGGCTTATTTTTGGGGTAGGGCTTATATTACGAGCAACCTGAAAAATCATGCTAGGGCTTATTTTCAGGATAGGTCTTATTTTGGGGAAAACAGGGTATTTTACTTGACTGGAATTGCCATTTAAGCAATGTTTCAACTTCCCTCTCATCTGCCTCATCTGAAAGAGGACACCTAGAATTCAGGCTTTAAAAAATAAAATAAATAAATAAAAAATTGCCAGCTCCAACGAGACCCAGTTGTCATCTTCCATTGTGTCACCTGCCTCTTCCTTTCCCATGCAACTATCAGGGAAAGAAAAGTAGCTCCTACTCTCCTCAAGTGAGGTAGGGGGGACTGTTCTTCTTCTCAAGGACTAGGAAGCATGGCAGACAACAAAGATGACACAGAGGGCAGAATTTGCTAGCCACCTGAAAAAGCAGCATCATTTGGGCTGCCATGTTCAGCCCCTGCTATTAACTACTGGATAGCCTAGAGCTTTAGGTCTCTAGCTGCAGAACCAGAGGTTGGGAGTTAAATTCCTAACTGTGCCTCCTTGACAGGGGGATGGACTTGATGGTCAATTGGGTACCTTACAGCTTTGCAGTTCTAAGATGATGATGATGACATAGTTTCCAACGGGATTGCTTTGTCTGTGATTTAACAGCTGAGTTAAGAATTATTGATCCAGCAATGCACACATATAACTATTAAAGCATACTGCATTTTGTAAGCCAAAAATGACAATCTGGTGCCATCCAAACATTCTGGCTGCTATAAGGACATAAGAAGAGCCCTCCTGGATCAGGCCAAGGGCCCATCTAGTCCATCTTCCTGTATCTCACAGTGGCCCCACCAGATACCTCTGGGAACACACAAGACAGCTAGATAGCTGTCTCCCGATACCTGTCCCCTGCATCTGGCATTTTGAGGTACCTTCCTTCTAAACCTGAGATTATACATCCCTATCATGGCTTGTATCCTGCAACGGAATTTTCCTCCAGGAATCTGTCCAATCCCCTTTTAAAGGCATCTAGGCCAGATGCCATCACCGCATCCTGTGGCAAGGAGTTCCACAGACTAACAACACGCTGGGTAAATAAATCTTTTCTTTTGTCTGATCTCACTCTCCCAACACTCAATTGAAGTGGATGTCCCCTGGTTTTGCTATTGTGTGAGAGGGAAAAGAGGAATGTAGATGTCCCAAGATAATTTTGAAAAATCCCTGTCATCATGGGCAGTAGTCATAGTCCAAAAAAATATGATAGCATCAGGTTTCCTACTCTTTTATAAGCTGTCTCGCTGTCTCACCTGTAGTATGTGCTCTAGAAGAGAATGAAGAAGTTTAGCAGGAGGAATGAGATCTCTCCCAGAAAGAAACTCCATGACCGCAGTAGGAAAGAAGTGGTCATTTACTAATTCTTCAAGCATATTGTCTCTTTTGTAACAGCAAGTCTTTTTCACCTAGGAAATGAAAGTCTTCTAATGAATTATCAGTAGAAATTAACACTTATCAGGTATAACTAAACCTGCAGTCAAATAAGATCATGTGTATAGGGAACACTTTGATACAAGCCCAACTTTTGCTGATGTCATCTAGCCCCTGCCCCTTGGCCCATCCTATACCTTTCCCCTGCAGACAGAGCAATACACAACACAGGAGGTGTGAAGGGGGAGGCATAATTTAGTGATTAACTCTGATCAGTTGGAATGTATGCAGCATGTGGAGGGAGTCTTCCCAACTCTGAGGGCCTGGGGAAGACTTTTCACTGAATACTTTATGGGTTTTAGGCAGCTCTTTCCTGCATTTATGGATCTCCCATATGTTGATGGAACTGACTTTATTTCCATAGGAATAAAAATAATTGTTCTAAAGCATAAATATTTTAGAAGAGGCACGTCCTCCAGTGTGACAGAGAAAGAGAAATGAAGTTTTCAGATTACGGTGCTTGCTATGCACAATTTTACAGGTAATTCCAAGAGAAAGAATGTTCAATAATATCAATTACCAGTGTTGCAGCCACAACAGAATGTCTTTATCTCCAATACAGAAAACATGGTGTACCATACTACCATGATAAAAAGCCGCAAGTCTCTTGAAACTGCTTGCATACCAATATGGCTTGAATTTGATGCCTGGAAAGGTTTCTGAACAAATGTTTCTACTGAAACCATCATCCATCTTAGATTCCAAGAATGGTGTTTGTTTTACACCACACCTTGTTTTTAACAAAAACAAACAAACAAAAACACTACTTTGTATATCGAAAAGCACATTCACTTCAATTTAGTGACAAAAATAAAAACGGAGAGTCCAGAATGCTTGTCTTTTGTACGTAGCACTATTCTTTCACACATTTCTTTCAAAAACAAAAACAGAAATACAAAACCGAACCAAACCAACCAACCAAAAATGCTCTTCCACTTGTAGATGTCTCAAGATAGTCTTCATATATTTTTCATCCCCATCAACCATACAGACCTAATATGTAATTTAATGCTGTTTAATTTTCTAAGAGTTGAGCAAGGTGTTCATGACAGAAAGTTTTGAAGTTGCTAATTCACAGGAATGCCATTATGCTACTTCATAGCATGTGGCAACCCTACATGGTTTTTAGCTGTTTCAGAACTGCGCTGGTCCAGGAGTCCATCCATTTACAATCAATTTAAGGAAATTAAATTTATATACAATGAGGTTCAGGATTGTAATCTCAGGAAATAAATCAACAATGTTGTGACAAAAGGCTCTCAGGGGAGAGAAGGAATCCAAAAGCTGCAATTTTTAGTGACACTAGTTTGCAGAGATATCCAATATCAGCACTACCTATATTTAACATTTAAACTTGATATCACTCCTGCCGCAAGCACAGAGTAGCAGCAAGTGTTAAATTACCATAAATTATACATTATGCACAGTGGTATCCCTTTCAAAATTTCAAAAGCTGTAAAAGGTAGATATGCTGTGCAGATAGTTAAGCCTACCTAATTGCCCCATACTGTGGACTCTGAAATGATCCAAAGACTGCTATGTAGAATACTGTGCATAGCAATTTCTGTGCATGCTGGTTGGCTGCAAACACAGGAACATCTCTGCATTATAGCTACAATCCAGCATACATTGTTACAATTAAGAATGAATGAATGAACATTCTATATAGCAACCAAACATGCCATTACAGTATATTGCCTTATGGAGACATGCCAGTGGCAGGTCTCCATAAGGCAAGATGGACCAGATTCAGTCAACATTTCTGAGAGTTAAGACATGGGTGAAATCTATAAATGAAGACATACTCAAGAATCAATGATATGATCAAAAGATGCGCAATGTTCTGCATCCATGCTAAGTTTTAAAGGGTAGCTTTCCTAATGTAGCTCCTAATAGTGCCACAAAAAACAGTCCTGAAGATCATGGACTCAAGAACAGCATTTAAAGTGATACAAGATGAAAGGAAAGTGAGCACATGTGTTTTTTGTGTGTGCACTAGCTTCTTTGAATCTCAAACCAAATAAAGATTTGAGTGACATAAAGGACACCAATATTCATTCATTGTTTTTCTCCTTCTACTGCCCTACCAACAAAACAAATATTTATTTTAAAACCTGATAATCGATAGCAAATTAGAAGCATTATTTCCTCCCTAACTCCCTCATAGTGAAATCTTACCTCCTTTTGTGTGTTGTCCATTTGCTCTATTTGAGTGTATTTGCTCAGCATAGCCTGGCAAATAAAAAGGAGTAAGTGATTTGATATAAGTGTACATGCTAATTCACTATTTGATAAGCATAACATATGCTAATATAACAAAAGCAACAGCTTGATTCTAAATATTTTTCTTTGGAAATCACTTCCATTGATTTCTATTGAGAGTACTGAAGTTTTGTCATCCGCTTATAATACTTTGTGCTCTTCAATACTATAGAAAAGCTCTACAAGCTAACCAAAGCAGGCAAAAAATCTTCTGATTTCAAAGGTCAAGGCAGGGCTCATAACAAAATCATTTCTAATAAAGTTTTAACGGGAAGCTTGATAATCTATCTGAAACATGTAACAATTGGTGTAATTCCCTTATTGAACAGTGCTTCTTGCAACTCAAATAGCCTCCCAGTCACTTGCCAAGTGGTCAGATATAACATATTCTGCTTTGCCCAACTAGCATTCACGTTTTCCTCCTCACTTTCTGCTAAGTAATACACAATTGCTGGTGCACACAGATGTGGAAAAAAAAATCCCGGAAGAGAGACAGTTAGTTGTGGGTGTCCTTGTGCTATCAATGCAATATGTCATTTGAGGTTTGACATCTGCAGCCTTTTACTGTTTGTGTAACATTTCATTATCTAGGCAAAGTAATTTGTATACATAGTATCGACATGGACTTAACACACACACAAGCACAAAACAAAAAATACTGTTGGTGAATATTTTGTCTGACCTAAAAGATACTGGCAATAGTGTTGTGTACCACATCCCATAATTCATAAGGAGTTTCCTTTCTACAAAAAACACTCCTTTCTTTTGTAGAGGTTTCTTAAGCAAAAGCATTCTCTATTTTTAGAAAACAGGGAACAAAGGTTTAAAGTTATAATACCCGTGCCAATTTTCAAACAGTAAAAGTAAGTGCAAATGAGCTCTATCCTCAGCTCTTCCTAAGACATGTGTATTTTTCTTTTTTCTAGCTTCATTCCCCCATTTCTTAATACATAATTTTTTATATATATATATATATATGGTGCATCTTACCTGCTGAAAATATATGTGCTTTATCAGTGCACCTTTTATTTCATTAAGATGTAGATCAGCCATTACTTCTTTGGATTCTTGCTCAGTATCGGCATCTGCCACATGATGTTTTTCAATATCACTTTTAATTTCATTCTGGGTACACATAAGAATTTATTAAGGCCTGGGCAAAATAGTCAGCAATGTAATGTAAACTCAAGGCAATTATGAGATTAGACATGGGACTTTTGTTGTACTTTCTTTTAACAAGCTCCAGAATTTGCCAGGAACTCCCCTAGCCAAAATTCTGGTACTTGTAGCCAAAAGCCCCACGTTCTTAGAGACGTTCTAGAACATGCACCTGGACCTCAGCAAATCTCCCTCTGGAGCAATGGTTCTCAGGCTGAAAAAGAGCTAAACAGGTGGAAATGGCTAAACTCTATGGTTGCTGCAAGAGTTTGGTAGTCTCCCCTAATCCCTTCCAGCTCCTGTGAAATTCAGCCACTCCTACCCATTTCCTTCTTTTTCAGCCTAATGGCCATCACTCCAGAGAGAGACCTGCGGAGGCACAGGTGTGCATTCTGAAACCCCTCTGAGGACTTAAGATTGTTCGGCTATAGCTACTAAAAGTCTATATGCTGCAGTGAAAAAAAAATCAGAAATCCTTACACCTAGTTGAGATACTAATAAAACCCAAATTAAACTGTTTGGTATTACATAGTATAGTTTTACTGTGTATACAATTGTGAATCTGTGAAAACATATTCAGAAAAAGAACAAGCTTATGCATTTAATATATGGGTCCCAAACTACAGGTAGTCATACACAAGATTTTCAGTGCAACTAGTGATGTAGTTACTACTAGCTTCAAGTAGTAACTCTAACAGTGAATAACATATACAGTAGTACCTCGGTTTATGTTAAGTTTTATTATACGGTCATAGACCTGAAAATTCAAATATAAAAACATAATACAAGATATACAGAATAAGTACGTCGTTTAGAACATATCTCCTCCGTTTACGTAATTTCCGGTTTACGAACAGAAATCCGTTGAAAATAATGCCTCGGTTTACAGTTTTTTTCAGTTTGTGAATGACGTTTCCCCGTGCCTGGAGGTTTGTAGTTCTGCCGCCGTTGCTATGGAAATCTGCATTTCGGTTCACAAAATTTTCACATTACATAATGTTCCGGAGAACATATGGATTTCATAAACTGAGGTACTACTGTAATCTATTTGTAATACTGATGGTTATATTTAATAAAATAACTTTGTTTCCTATTAAAAAATCCCAAACAGCAAATATTGATATACATTCCCATATGTTTTATTCAATAGAAAAGAGAATTCTGTTTCACACTGATGGGACCACATACACATGGTTCGCCACCCATGTCCATTGTACTAAGAACAATAAACACCATGGTGTTGGGAAATATGCACCCAACCTTGACAAGTGAACATAAGCCACCAGAAAATGATCCATGTGCCAAAACCCATTTCCACATCTGGAGCTATCTAGCTGGGTTACAGATAAGTCTCCAATTTTGGCTTACATCTATAGGTAATTTTTTTACCAATGCTTCACTCTACTAGTCATCAGCACAATCAAACAAGCCATAAAGCTGGTTTTACTCACTGTTTCTGGTTATATGAGAGCTCCAGAAGAAACACTGTTTGTAACTAAATTTTACAAGAGCAGTTTTGATCTTGATTTGTTCAGAAGAAATTAAAGATGGTTCCCAACTTGCATGTAAAGACACTTTGATCAAATCTGACTTCTTACCTCTATCTGAAACTCCCTCATGCAAATGTGGGCTAAATACACCAAGATCTGAGCATCTGAACATGAACATGGTTTGGAGATATAGTAAAATCTGTCATCAAGCCTCCCTTCACCCTATTTCACAGTTCTTACCAGGATTCTCAAACACATAAAATTCCCCAATGCTGTTGTATTTGACAGTCTCTTGTATGCATTGTAATGATGATGGACCAACACACACAAATATGATGGTCCCAGCAACACAAACAATTGTCACTTCAGTACCTTAAATGCAAATGAAAGTGTCTGAGACTATCAAAAAGAGTGCAAGAAAACATTCTTCCACAACCTCTTCCAGTTAAACCAAACATTTGAGATCAGCTGAAGAATATATATTTAAAAGCATAGCTTTTACTCAAGATTCTCATTCCTTTACTTGCCTCTAAGAGATAAGTTGTTAAATAGCGAATTGGATAATATGTAGCTCCGAAGATACGCTTCTCACTTCCTAGATGTATTGCTGTATTATTAGTTAATATATGAGTAATATCTTTTGATGCACTCACAGTTTCATATACAGTGGCTTTCCCTGCTTTTAGAACTCTGAAAGAATGAAACAGTTAATGATTAGAACCTTGATGCAAATATAACTGTTATTTAAAGCCTACACAGCTTGGAAAAAAGGATGTATAACGCTATCTCAGCTCTCATCTCCACAGCCCAGAGGGGGAGGAGATGGGATATGTAACTAAAAAAGCACTCATATTAGCTTTGTCAATGCATTATTAAAATTGACCAGTTTTAATATATTTTGCTTTATCCCTACATATCATAATAATTTAGTATTTTGAACAGAGAAGCTGGCATACGTTTCACTTACTGAACTGTAAATCAAAAGGAAATTCTCATATTTACTTTTATCTGGTCCACAGTGAATTTCCTAACATATTTTCAAACAAGGAGCTCTTTGCATGAAATGATCCAATAAGAAAACATACTAAAATGGCTATCATTATTATAATAGGAAGTGTTTCTCTTCCGTATCTGTAGTTTCTCCAATTAAGTTTTCTATTTTTCAACTGGGGACAGCACTGAACAAATACTTATTCTATTTTATTCATTTGTAACATATTTTATTCTTCCTGACACAAAATCTCAAAGTGGTTTATACATTAAAATTACACATCAGCTAGAATCCTACTGAAGGTTTGCATAATGTGCCTCAGCTAATTGCTGCTAATTGACAAGATGCCACAGCATACTTCAGTTGTGCAATGAGCACATTATATTGTCAACTGCCTGTGGCAAGTTCCACAAATACTGGTAGGATTCTGGCTATCATAAATAGTACCGTATTTTTCCATATATAAGATAATACTTTTCTCTAAAATCTTTAGATTAAAAATTGAGGGTCATCTTATACACGGAAGTAAGGAGGTGGAGGAAGAAAGTAGAGGGGGAAGGCAGGGATCAAAGCGCTTCGATCCCTGCTTTCCCCCTCCACTTTTTGCGAAGTGGCGGGAGAAAGCACTTTCCTTGCAAAAAAGTGGAGGGGGAAATAGAGAGGTTATCTACCTGTAACTATGGTTCTTCTAGTGGTCCTCTATGAATCCACACAAATGGGTTGTTCTGCACCTGTGCAGGACGTCTTGGAAGTTTCTAGAGCTTAAAAACATGTGCTTAGTAGGACATTCCCCCGTAGAGCGCATGCTCTGCCTTTCAAGTCCCCTCCGTTCCTGTACGAGTCCGCCGCTGTCAAGGGGTTATATAAAAGACAATGTGACGGACAGAGGGGAGGATGGGCGGGATGTGTGAATTCACAGAAGAACACTAGAAGAACCATGGTTACAGGTAGGTCACCTCTCTTCTTTGTGGTCTCTGTGAATGCACTCAATTGGGTGACTGACAAGCTCACTTACCGGATGGTAGGAAGTCGTGGTAGAAGGGATGTCAAGATCGCTCTGCCAAAAGCAGTATCATTCTTTGCATCGATATCCAGACGGTAGTGTCTCACAAAGGTCAATGGATTAGACCATGTAGCTGCATGGCAGATGTGAGGAAGCTCTATTCCACGGTGGAAGGCAATAAAGGTTGACAGAGCTCTGGTAGAATGAGCTCTTAAATGTTCAGGAGGCGTCTTGCCTGTGAGCTCATAGGCCAATGAAATAGCTTGAACAATCCAGTGAGAGTTTGAGGCGAAGCTGGGGCACCTTTATGAGGGCCATGAAAACATAAGAAGAGCCTTGGAGACTTTCTGAATCATTTAGTTCTATCAATGTAGAAGGTCAAAGAGCGTCTCCACAAACATGTGGAGTATGCGCTTGAGAGGTGTAGAAGGAGATGGAAATAAATTTGGTAAAATCAATGGTTGATTGAGATGAAAATCAGAGACAATTTTAGGTAAAAATGATACATCAAAATAGAGGGTAACCTTAGCTGGATGAAACTGAAGGTAAGGTGGGTCTGATCTGAGGGCTGCAAATTTGCTGGCAAGTTTAGCAGATGTTATTGCTACGAGGAATGATGTTTTTAAAGAAAGTAATTTGAAAGTAGTGGCAGTCATTGTTTCGAAAGGCGATCGGGTAAGTGTGTTAAGGACAAGTTGCAAAGACCATTGAGGAAGAGGATATTGACGTGGGAACGGATATTGAGGAGTCCCTTGAGGAATTTCTTCAACATTGGGTGAGAGAAAAGCCTAGCTGTGTCAGACTGAGAAGGTTGATGAGCTATAATAGCAGAACTGTATACCTTGAGGGTAGAATGAGAGAGACCGAGATGAAAGAGATGCGGCATGAGTATGAGCAAAGGAGAGGAATGATTTCCATTTGTTTTGGTATAATCTCTGGGTCAATGGCTTTTGAGCTCGATCTAGTACATTTTGTATGGCGAGACTATCCTCCATGCTGTCAGGTTCAGAGAGTCGATGTCAGGGTGGTAAATCATCCCGCTGTCTTGGGTCAGAAGGTGGGGGATTGACGGGAGATAGAACACCTCGGTCGATATCGATCTCAGGTGGGTGAACCATGGTTGACGTGGCCATCTTGGGGCAAGGAGGATGGCATTCGAGTGGACCTGTCAAAGTCGAATGACGGTTCGCTGTATGAGTGGAATCGGAGGAAATTGGTACAGTAGGCCTCCGACCCAGTCTATCATAAAGGCATCTCCAAGTGAGTTTGTGTTGACACTGGCTCGGAAGCAATACCGTTGGCACTTGGTGTTGGTCTCAGACGCAGAGAGATAGATGGACAAAACACCCCATCGGTGACAGAGGAGGTTGAAAACTTTGTCGTTCAGTGCCCACTCATGTGTCCTTGTGTTAAGACGACTGAGATGGTCTGCAAGACAGTTGTTGTCTGTGGTAACTTGGATAGCTACCGGGAAAATGTGGTGTAGGTAGCACCATTCCTAAAGTTCAACCGCCAGATACAGGAGCAAAAGGGAGTGGGTATCTCCCTCCTTGTTTATATAGTACAGTACAGTGCTGTAGTATTGTTTGTAGCTAGCTGTACTGTAATGAGAGGTAAGAAGGCATGGAAAGCCTTGATAATTGCTAAGAGTTTGAGATGGCTGATGTGTAATAATTGTTCTTGATTTATCCATTGGCCATGCATTTTGTGACGTCGACAAAGAGCTTCCCATCCTGACGGGCTGGTGTCGGTGGTGACCTGTATCGAGAGCTGTAGAGGTCAAAAGGGTCTGCCTACCATCCAACGAGGAAGAAACGTCCACCAGGTGAGTTGCCTGGTGAGTTCTGATGTTAGTATGAGACGTTTGGAAGGGTGGTCTGTTATAGAATCGAATAGTGATAGGTACCATGAGTGTAGAGACCTCATTTTGAGCCTTGCGTGCTGGATAATGGCTGAGAAGGTGCCCAAGAAGGTGCTGGGCTTGATGGGCTGATACTGAAGCTAGGGGCCAGAATGGTCGGATGGCTCATTTTAGTTTGGTGATTCTCTCTTGAGGGAGAAAGGCTCTGGCTCGAAGGGAGTCGAAATACGCCCCAATGTACGTGGCAGTCTGTGAAGGCTTGAGATGGGATTTGGCAAGGTTTACATTGGGCCCTAGATTTTGAAGAGTATAAAGAGTTTGTTGGGTAGTTCTGACTGCATCGTGATACGAAGTAGTGACTATTAACCAATTGTCTATGTAGGGGAATACTGTAATACCCTGTAGTCAGAGGTAATACCCTGTAGTCAGATGGTGCCATACATTTGGTAAAGGTCCTTGGTGCCGTGGAAAGTCCAAACAGGAGAGAGCAAAATTGGTATGAAACATTGTCAAATCGGAATCGTGGAAATTTGTGATGAAGTGGATGGATAGAGATATGAAAATAGGCATCTTGGAGGTCAATGACCACAAACCAGTGTCCCTGTGAAAGGAGAGGGATGATAGTATTGAGGGTTAGCATTCTGAAGCGTCTGGACCGAATGAATTTATTAAGGTTTCTAAGATCAAGAATAGGATGGAGTCCTTCATCCTTTTTGGGGACTGTGAAATATCTGGAGTAAAATCGATAATGCAGGGTAAAAGAAGGGACTATGAGACTGGCTTGTTTTTGCAGAAGAGAAACTTCTTCATGGAGAGCTAGATGGTTCCAGAGGGAGGGGTACATTGAAATTCAATAAAATAACCGTTTTGGACAATAGAAAGGGCACACTGATCATTAGTGATACGATGCCAAGCCAAGATGAAGGGATGGAGTCTAGTCTGAAATGCAGATAGAAGGGGTTTATGGATACTACCTACCCTTTTTTTGTGGGCGTTGAAAGGGCTGTAGACGTGCTTCTTGTTGAGGTCAAAAGGAAGGTATGGTAGATGTAGATGGGCCTGGGTAGGATCTGTTGGATACTTGTGGCTTGTATGGTAGATATGGTTGTTATGAGCATGCCGTTTTGCGGATTTTATGGAGATTGTCCATGACCTCATCAGTTTTAGTATTGAACTACCCTTTTTTTGTGGGCGTCGAAAGGGCTGTAGACGTGCTTGTTGTTGAGGTCAAAAGGAAGGTATGGTAGATGTAGATGGGCCTGGGTAGGATCTGTTGGATACTTGTGGCTTGTATGGTAGATATGGTTGTTATGAGCATGCCGTTTTGCGGATTTTATGGAGATTGTCCATGACCTCATCAGTTTTAGTATTGAAGAGGCCAGCACCATCAAAAGGAAGGTCTTCTATCCTTGCTCTAGCATCATCTGAGATACCTGCTAATCTCAGCCAAGCATGGTGTGTCAAGGCAATAGATGTGGACATAGCCTTAGAGCAATATGGCGCAAAGCGATTCTTTGCTGTTTAGCTAAGGCTGAAGCCTCGGCGTGAATGTTCAGGGCTTCTGTATTGGTGGTGTCCGGAGCTGCTTGGATGATAGGTAAAATCCTATTCCATAGCTGGCGGTGGTACATGCTCATAGCGGCTTGGTAGTTCGCGACTCTCATGATAAATGATGTAAGGGAATAGACTCATCTTCCCGGAATGTTGTTTCCTTTCTCTCAGTTGGTGGGAGACACAGATGATTTGTTACATGCTCTTGATTCATTGGATTCTACAACTGAATTTGGTGTGGGATGTTTGGAAAGGAAAGCTGTGTTGGACCGTGAGTTTTGTAA